TGATTTTATTTTTCAGCATCTAACATCTAAAATAGTATTATAATGCCAATTAAAAGTATCATTTTTTGTACAGGACTTGATGTAGATTTAATAAGTCCCTTTAGAGACTCACTCATTCTTGAAAGTCTAATTCAAAATTAATTGGTAAAATTTAATTTTGATGGTATGTGTTTCCCTCTCATTTTTAGTCACTAAAATATTTGCAAAAAAATAGAAATTATTATTTGTAGCTAAAGAACACTTACTGGGTCTCCTCTTCTTGTTTTATTAAAAATATATATATATTTTTTTCTTTTTTTTTTCTTTTACTTTTTTTTTTATAATTTTATTTTTTATAAACATATATATATATATTTTTTTTCCCCCAGGGGTACAGGTCTGTGAATCTCCACGTTTACACACTTCACAGCACTCACCATAGCACATACCCTATAAAAATATATTTTTAAAATGTATTTTAAAATATACATTGTATAAATGTATAAAATGTACATTTTATTAAAAGTACATGTTTTTTTACATTTTTATTTGTTTTACATAATCATGCCTAATGATTGAATGATTTCCTTATTCCCTGTAAGTCCAAGTAAAAGAAGCAATAGCAAACATAACAGTCAAAAACATATTAGTTAAGTCATGTAATTTATAAAGTAGCTTATATTTAATATAACAATGCAAAAATATTTATCCTTCATCTCCCCATTCTTTTTTTATTTGCATTTTCAAATCCACAAGTGTAATTAACTTGGAAAAATATCTATTATTAGAACAATAATAAGTGTAGTTGGAAAAGTGTGAAACAAGTGACTTGCCAGATTAGCAAATACTGGATGAAACAGTTGCAGTGTCAAGGAGAGAAGAAACCATATAAATATATGTAGAAGCTTTGCCATAGGGATAACTTGCTGATTTTTGGCAGCATTTTCTGCCTTTAATCTTACATGTTTAAAGTAGAAAATTTATGGCTGGCTACGTCTACGATCTCAATAATTATTCTAAACACATAGTTTATTTATTTATTTATTTTTTTAAGTTAAAAAAACGCTTTGGTTTTACTATTGTCCTCTGAATACCTTGGAAAAGCATATATATTAATAGCAAACATAGCTGTAGTATGTTGTTTCTGTGTAATATTGCTTTGTGAATCTGAGACAAATCCTAAGATTTGGATATTAGTCTGCAGAAAGTGTCCAGAAGACCTGAAATAAATATAAAAAACTAGAGGTTACTTCTGAAGGGGAAATGGAAAATGAGATCCATGCACAAAAATAGTGCTCAAGATGTGTATAGCTGTTATTTTATTACCATTAATTAAGCGATACTTTCCAATGAGCAGCGATTACAGAGGCTACTGTTCCTACTGGGACCAAACTCACACTCTGACTAAAGATAAACAAAGTGTTTGGAGAGCAAGTTAAGGAAGTAGAGATTAGGGAATGACATATATAGTTATTTTATTAAATATCAACATGATATTGATGTCAGAAACTATGCTAAAATGTATATGCGTTATCTTAGCACATCCTAATACATGCAAGAGTTGAGATTTGAATCCAGACAGCATCTGAGGCTACAGCCTGTGTTCTTATCACTATAGCAGGTGCACTCCAGTAGACAGCATGAGGGAGAGACAGAGGAGTATGGATATTTTGGATGATTACTTTTAAAGCAGTTCTTTCAAATGCTTGAGCTATAATCGCTCTTCACTATACTTCTAAAAAAGGATTCCAACATGTTACTCTTCCCATCTTCCTTCTGTAAAGCAGTGTACTCTGCCTCTTTCTTGCCTTAAATGCTTCAAGGGGTTTTCATGGCACAGGCAGTAATGTGCATTTCTTAGCAGGAGCTCCTGAGCCCGTGAGTCTTGCAGCCGATTGCTCTTGCAGGAGTCTCTAAGTTCTTGATGATAAGGGGATCTCTTCCTAGAACAAAATTTTCTCCTTTCCACTTTCAAGAATGATTTATTGCTCCTTATTCTGTTTCCTTAGCAATTTAGCTGTATACAACTGTCATGATGCTTTTTATTATTTTTACATACTTGTCTCCCTTAGTTGTTAGGGTACGGAGTCGACCACCCCTCAATTAGACAGAGAACACTCTCGATAATGCAAGTCACACAGCGAGGTTTATTTCCAGCTAGCTGGGGTCCAAGTTATCCACCTGGCGCAGCAGGTTTCAACAAGGACCCTGAGCACTCAAAGCCAAGGGTTTATATAGCATTTTCAAGGCACTTTTTCATAGCTACATACATATCTTGCACCCCACTTTGATGGTTTAACTTTATTTAACCTTTTGCCACCCCAGCATCACCCTGGATCCATCCTGGTGGTTAAGTGAGATTTAGGCTTAGAAGAAATTTAACTTTATTTACATTTCCTTCTGCCTCAGCCTCCCTCAGTTTTATGGTGGGGAGGGTGACCTTAGGCCTTGAAGAACTGAGCCATTTGTCTCTGGAAATTGGGCCATTGAAGAGATAGCCCTTTTTGTTGTAAATCACTAGGACATTTGCAAACCAAGGGAGACTCCTTCCTGTCTTGCAGGATTGTGATCTCTGCAAGTTAACTATTTGTTTTTCTTTAACATTTGGTCCCTGTGGCGCCATCGCCTAACCATGGTGGTATATGATTAAGTTGTTTCCTAGGCTTTAGCTACTTTCTCTTATCTCAAGTTATGTGCGCGTGTGGGCTGGTTAGGGACACTCAGTAAAATGGCTTCCCGGCCTTCAGGATGGCCATTCTTATGCTAACCCACTCTTACAGTGCAAAGTGTCGGCTTTTGCTTTGCCAAGATAGCTGTACTTATGTCAGGGCTGGACTCGAGGTGGGTACAGCCTTGTTTTTCCTGGCTTCCACAGCTGGAGCTGGTTTATGGGACTTGTTTTTAAGTCCCCTGGGGGAAGGGGAGCAGGGACAATAAAATAGGTCCTTACACAGTAAACTGTAACAATTGAGTACCTGGATGCCCATAGCAGTTATCGTTCGAGTCAGTGCATGAGGAGTGTTCTATGCGCAGCAAATGACAATAACCACATGTGTTCATAGATGTCCAACTTATATTTTCAGAGTTAAATAGAGGATTCTATCTCTGAGAGCTTCAGTGCTTAGGTAATGTAATTGAAGATGCTAATTCAAGTTTTCAGAGTTTACTGCCAAGAAAACAAAAAATCTTAAATGAAGATTATTTTAAGATTTAATGGCAACATGAAACTTAGGAGAAGGAAAAATACCAAAAGTTTTCTGGCTATTAATGACATTGATTATTTTGTTACAACTTTATATTATAAGGAAAGTTAAGGCCCATTGAATAAACCATGAAACTGGAGGGGTTTCCAGAAATTCTGTAGTATTTAGTTACAGTTTTTGCGCCAAGGTTATCAATTCAAATAAGTAATAGAGAAGTTGAAATATTTACAACATAAATAGAGGATTTGCTATTTTTTTATATATATAGCGGCTTGTCATTACGCTTATGTTAAAGTCCAAAATTCATGATCTGTCCGGTGACTCATCTCCTTTCCCAGTGTTGGCTCTCAACAACCTCTCTCTTCTCTGTTTTCTGGATTTCTGGAACATACCTGAGGCTTTTGCTTCAGGCCTCTACCGATACCAGCCTCTCTGTCCACCAAAGTTCTCTTCCTGGCCATTCAACCTTTAATCTTCCACTCATCTTTCAGCCATTGTTTGAAATTTACATCCTAGAGGACATTTCCCTAACTTGCCCATATAATTTGATGTAAACTTCTGTTCTTACTCTCTATAATGGCACTTATACTGATTGTTCTTGATGTATTTACTTAGTACTAATTTATTTAATGTCTGTCTTTGCTGCTCCTCTAGACATTATATGCTCTAAATGATTAAAAATTACTTTATAATTATTTACCATTGTACTATATTTTTGAAGATAATATGTTTTCATTTTTTCCCCTTGAAATAGTATAGGAAAATCATAAATACAGAGAGAATCTAGCCTTCCTTAAGCTTGTATCTTCTGGCAGCAGTTACCAAAGCTAAATTCTACAATCAGAAGAACTATTGCCATGTATTCACTCTTCCTCTAGTATTTTAAGAATCCAAATTTGAAAAAAAAGAAAATTGAATTTACTAATAAAATAGCTATTATTTTGAAAACACTTGCCAAAATAGAGAATTCTAACATTTTGGGTGCTTAATGATACCTTTATGTAACTCCATATAAGAAACGGAGACACAAGTTACTAACTCTTCTTTGACCATTTTCAATACAATCCACATGTAATTCAAAGGCTATATCTGACTTATTGCCTGGGATTACCAAATTTCATCAATTCTTAACTATATTTTCTTTGAACATCTCTGAAATTGAAATACACATAGATATGTGACCATATTTGAAAACTTCTAGTAAGATCAAGATATTGCCATGTGAAAGTTTTTTTGACTCAATAAAATACAGTCACATAAGTAAGGTAAATATGTATCTTTTAAAAACAACTTTTTTAGATAACCTAGACTCATTTTTTTTTTTTTCATTTCTCTTATAAATGAATACTGTCATGGTGCTTTAAGGGTTAAAGAAATCAACTCAATAGGAAATATCATGCTTATTAAACTTTTCAAAATTTGCAAACATATTAGTAAGTATTATTTAACTTCATCTTGACAGCTCTGTAAGGGAAAAGGGAGATTGTTTGAGTTATCCCTTCACACAGTAAAAACCGAATCTCATGTGTAAAGTACTTTTTGGTAGCTACATTGCTAGTAAGCATAGAAGCCAAAATCTTCACTTCTGTTTCATGAGGATGCTTCAGCATTGATACAGAAAAGAAATGCATTTGTTATGGAATTTGGGATGTGGAATTTAGGCTGCTATGACCATTTTTAATGAAGACGTAGTTGTATCATAATCTCTATGATAATGGCATCTCCACCATGAATTTAGTCAACATTGATTCAAGGTATGGCCATGTTAGCAATATGGATTGATGTATGCCAGCCTGTGTAACTCCAGGTTTTCATCAGGACAGTGACCTTTTGGACCGGCGGAAACACTGCTTCACGGTGCAATCTGAGTCTGGGGAGGATCTCTACTTCTCCGTGGAGTTAGAGTCTGACCTTGCCCAATGGGAAAGAGCCTTCCAAACAGCAACCTTTCTGGAGGTGGAACGGATACAGGTGAGAGTCTGTGAAATTTTAGGATCTGTGACTCCTAAAAATGCATGACTGCTCCCTAGAATTTAAATCTTAAATAGAAAATGCTATGATTTTAATTAATTTACAAAGTAATTTCCTGTTCTCCAGTCACAACCACCCAACTTTTAACAACCCAACTTCATTCTTTCATTGTGGTTTTTCTAGAAAGAATTCCCTTCAACTCTACCCTTCAAAATCATACATGTAATTTGAGACTTTTTTCAGAGGTCATATCATCACCAAGATTTTCCTGATTTTCAGTCTTTCCTGCCCATTATTACCACTATTGCCACAACTATCCTGTTCAAACTCATCCCACTTGTGAGCATCAATAGCACTTCTTTCGTCTGTTTTCTTAGGTCAACTAACACTGTCTTGTATTGGAGTGATATGTGCTTATCATTCCCCACACTTAGTTATAGCTTGCTTGGGATTGTTTTATTCATTTACCAGCTGAAGTACAGTGCATTTGCCCTGCATATTTATTAAGCTTTATTTCTTAAATGTAAAGTTAAATGTAAGTCAAACTTCATAGAACCTCAGCCTCTCCAATTCATGGGACCATGGAATAGATAAAGTTCCCAAATGTTGCTTCTGTGGCTGATGTCTGTCTGATAGAGACTGATGGCAAAATTGAGCAGTTGTGATGCACTTGCCATATGTAAATGGATTTGTAGAGCCAGGATCTAAATGTGTGATTATTGATGAATTAATTCCATTTGTAATTCTGAACATAATGAGATAAATTTTAATGTTCTGTAATGAAGATGTTTTCATCTGATATATTCTTTTAAATTATAGTAATTAAGAATAGCAAGCAATTATGTCTAAATTAGTGGGCATGAGATAGCCTTGAAGATTTCTTAATATTGACAGTAGTTTTAGTAAGGTAGTAGTGGGTGGATACAAGCATGGAAGATACCCATGCATTAAACAAATAAAATTAGACCCAAAACTGAAGTTAAAAGGCCCATTAAGTTTATTTTTTGAGCTGGTTTTTGAAAACTTGACTTCAAAGGGGTAATTTGGCATGGTTATAACTTTACTATGCTAATTGGGCTTAAAGCCATGAGTATAGGATTTTGGTGAAGACAACTTGATGCATTTAGCCATCATTATAGTCAGAATGGATTCATATAATGTACTTTTATATACAGTATTATAAATATGATGTAAGGATTAGTATTAAAAATTTGCTTGAGATCAGTTTATCTCATTCTCTTCCTCCCTTTCTCCCTCCTTGTGAATTATGAACATTTTTCTTCATTTGAATATACCAGTAGAGTTTGCAATTAAATGAAAACAAAATTGGCCTGTGGACAAAAAGATGCATCATGTAGCATATAAGTCCCGAGTTTTTATTTCATGTTTATTATTGTTAAATTTTAGTATTTCTATTTTAGTAGTCTTTCCAAAATATTTATGTAAGTAAAATTATAATTTAATCTGATCTTAGTGTGAAAAGTCATTGATGATTTTTGAAGAATCAGTAGGTTTATACAAATAAGAAGCAAGTGATAAATGTCTTTAGGAAATAGCTTGTACCACATGGATGAGCATTATATGAGAGACTCTCAAGGTAAAGATGTTCTTATATGTTTTTCCTTGGTTGCTGAATCTGTGTTTGTATGCCTTAAAGTTCTCTTTTAATAATATCCATGAAATTGATATGCCAAGAATTGGAGTAATATCTTAACCTTTAATAGTTCACTTTTGTTTTAATCCAAATGCAATGATATTTAGCTATAAAATATAACAACAGAACATAATCTTGCCTAAACTTAAACATTTTTATACCAGTTTTATTGGCAGCATAGCAAAGGGTGCCAGTATAGCATAAGATAAAGACAAGTTCACAAGGAGCAGGATTGAATATGTGGTCCTGAATACCTCTTGGCAGGTGAAAAACCTATTCAGCTAGCTTTATTAATATTAAGATGTCAATAATACTATGTTTCTTATACAATTATTGATGATATTAAGTTAGCTATTGTATGAACAACTTATTAGGACCTGTCACACAGTCTTTGATAAATGTTGTCTGTTAATACTGATATTGGGTCAATCACAAGAAAAGTAACAGTATTTTCTGTTCTATCTAGTGCAAGACATATGCATGTGTGCTAGAAAGTCATCTAATGGGACTCACAATTGACTTTAGCACTGGGTTTATCTGCTTTGATGCTGCAACAAAGGTAATGTGTTCAGATCAGCTCTGAGGAATGTGCTGCAGACACTGTAATTTAAGAATGACTGAAATAACTTCTAACTCCTGTCAACATTTTAATTGGTTATCATGTATCAAACTTAAGATCCTCATTTTTTAATAGAAGAAAAATCATGCTTTATTCTGTTTATAGAAACACAAAAGCTTGAATTTTTAATGAAACAAACATGTTTCCAAAAAACATTTTAAGTGTATAAAGTGAATATATATGTATAATATATATACATTATCATTTACAATATATTATAATGTATACATTATAATAATGTATGCAAAAGAGAATATGTATATATTCTCTTTTACTAAAGGTTTAGCATCTTACTAAGGGAAATTTCTTTTTCTCCAAACACAAGTTTTTTTTTTTTTCCTTTCCCTCCTTTATTTGACATGTCCTCACAGAACATCGATCAGTTAAAGAGTAAAATTGATGCTGAATTTCTGACATGTCTAACAAGGAGATTCATTCATCAGATTGACTTGTCATATATTTGAAGGAGACACAACACAAAGAGACCAAAACTGGCAAATACAAGTTTTTTAAAAAAGGGTTTCTTTCTTTCCTTTTTTTTTTTTTTCCCCTGCATCAGTATCCCCAATATCCAAACAGGGAAAACATTTTTTTAGAGTTTAGTTTTATAGGTAATATGTTAGAATCATAGTATGGAGGAATTTGGGGTTTAGAATTTCTAGCCAGGAAATATAACCCTTGTTAACTCTTACTTAGCTTGGAAAGGTCTTGTGCAATCTGATTGGATACCTTTTCCACAAAAGATCTTCCTCTGAGAGGAATGTACATTGAAGGATGAAAGGAATCCTCTCGGATAGTCATGTCTAAAAAATCTTTAAACACAACTGATCCCTTACCCATTGATAATCTCCTAGTACCAGAGTCACTGCTGCATTTTCTGACTTGGGGTTCAGGTCCCCATGGAGGACATTTTTTTCCCTCCCATGACACAATCTATTCCTCAGATCCTCTCCACTTTTCCTTTATTAAATTATGGCCTAAGAAATAAACCCATATATTCCTTCCCACTAATTTTAAAGATTACTGAGTAATCCTTTACTGGGAAACTTTTATCTTACCTAAAAATCAAGCATTGTACAGAATTTTCAAAAACAGATACAAGTAAAACAAGATTGATATAAATGTGTGAGAAAGGCAGTGTCCTGAAAATAAGAGGTTTTGGATCTTGGGAAAGATGGGAGTTCATGGTGCAGTCCCGCAGCTCACAGTCAAGTATGATGTGGACTGGTGTCTAGAGATCTTAGGAGTTTTCATGACCTAGCAACTGAGACTGTCACACAAAAGCTCAAATTATTTAAAGATGGGCAATTTATTTTTCACTTAGTGAAATTAAATAGCGTACATTTGCTGGTCAGATTGATTTGACCATCCAGTGCATTGCCTTTGTATAATGCCAAAAGAATATTTATCTAAATATGGAATTTCAGATGCTGTGGCTCTTTTGATGACTCTCAGATGAGACTGCCATCTCTTTTTTTTTCCTATGACCAAAGACTTTCTTTGGAATAGAATATTCATTCAATTCAGGATAGCCTCATGAGTATTAAATTAATATAGCATATTTACTAATTTTACTACTCAATTTCATAATTATTAAATCAATGTAATAAATAACTTTCAAAATAATTAAAGTGGTTAGAAAAAAATTAAAGTGTGATTTTATAAAGAGAATATTATAGCTATAATTGTCATCAAATTCTACCACATGAAGATGGAAAAATCACTCATATATGAGAGGGAAAGTAATAAAATTCATCTGAACTCATTTCTGAATGCCTGAACTTAAGTTTTGTTGTTGTTGTTGTTGTTTTGTTTCTGTTTTTTGTTTTTTGTTTTTAAGGATAGTATAATCTAAATCCATGTCAAGGTCCTGTTTTATCCCTTTGTGTGATAAGGGAGAAAATCCAGATGTGGATGTTCTATGTGACATGTTGAGGTATTCCTGCCTGGGTGTGCAGGGAAGGAATGAGCACCCAGGAGACTCTAAACAAATCGTTATGATGCCATCTAGGGCATATCATTTAGCAAGAATGAGATTTTAGTCAGTACAAGCTTGACACAGAAAAAAGCCAGTGGCCTTGGGGAGTGGTAATCACCATCTTCCCATTTTCCCTTGTTGGAAGTTCCTAACTCCAAGGCCACCCGAGAATTGTGAGGGAGGGAGAGAGCCTGTCTCCTTGTGATGAGCAAGGTATTCATCACTAAACTGGCACTTGCGCAGTAATAGGGAACTGTTAATAATTATGTCAGGGCAAACCACTGACCTGCCTGTACTGCAAGAAGGTGGCCTTACTCCATGGAATGGAGTAAAGTAAGTAAAGCCTAAAGTAAGTAAAGCCCAAAAGTTATTTTTAAATACAAAAAAGAAAAAAAAAAGTAATTATAATGTATAAATCAAAGCTTGTTTTGTTCCAATATTTTATTAAAACAGTTAAATAATATTGTTATTTTCTCTACTTGATATGCCAGTGGAAAGAATCTTTAAAAATATATGCCCAGCAGATTTTTTAAATGTTTGGTTCAGGAAGGTCAAAGCAGCAATACTATTGATACCCTTTAACTGTTCTTATTTTGTCAATCTGCTCTGCATCTTGATCAGGCCCTCCAGCTTTGAAGTGACTATGGAAGCAAACCAAAGGTCGTATGATAAAGTATAGATTCCAGAAAGGGGGAGGAGGTGTACTGAGTAGTTAGCTGAGTTCCATTTAAAGCAAGTTCTACACTGTTAATACACCAGCAAAGGGGAGAATTTATATATATATATATAGAGAGAGAGAGAGAGAGACAGACAGACAGAGAGAGACAGAGAAATGATAAATATGGAGATTATATATATATATATATTTATCATTTTTAAAAGATATTTTTAAATAAAATAAACAATAATGAAAAAATAAATTAGAAGACCAAATTAGATACTTAGGAAATAAAGTCTTTGTGGCCTTAGTTTACACTACACTGCTATAGGTTTGGAAGCAGTGAGCTAGTTTTGTTACTACACTGCTATAGGTTTGGAAGCAGTGAGCTAGTTTTGTTACTTGTCCCTTGTGCATGAAAGTCCTCAGGGAAAATTCTTTCCCTGGACTTTCTAGACAGTACAATACACACTAAATAACTCTGCATTTCCCATACTTCAGTTTACATTAGCAACGTAACAGAAGGTTACCATTCTTCTGTTTCAGTTAGTGTTGCTGGGGAGATTCCCTCATAGAAGTTTATTGCCATATAACAGTTCAGCTTGTTTTTTGTAATCTTTATCTTTATTAAAATGTAGCCTGAGTGTTAGAAAAGGTTTTCTCATTAATATTCAAAGTATGATGTTGCAGTACTAATATAATTCCCATAGCTAAAAGTATTGATTTGTTGCCATTATATTCCTTCAAAAATTCATATATGCATTACTTATAGCTATTAATAGATTTCCTATATAAACAGAGACTTTAGTAACATTTGTAAATAAATAGTTAATGAATACTTGTTTCCTATTGAAAGATAGAAGAGGGATATATAAGGCTTCCTGGAAATTGAGACACCAAGGATAAGATTATCTAGACAAATATCTGTAAGTAAGGAGAACACTGAATTTGAGGTCAGACATGATGCAAGGTCAAGTTTGTGGGTAGCCAAGAGCCAGATTATGAAAGGGAACCTAATAAAGAATTGCACCTGATCCTAAGAACAGAAGAACCTTTGAAGGGTTTGAGACACAGGAATGAAATGATCAGAAATGTGTTTGGCAACATAAACCCAGTAGAATAGTAGATGACTAAGATGGAGAAAACCTGGGAAAAGCCTGGTTTGGCCCTCCTCTGGACATCTACCACTTGGAAATGTTCTAGAAAAAAAAAAAAAAACATGCATGGTTAACAAGGTCAAATAAACACACTGTTACAAGTTGAGGTTGAGGGTGAAAATAGTGTATGAACAGAAGTAAGAGATGTTCAATATCATGGAAGCTAAATTATAAGGAAGGAAATGTAGAAAATGCTTGGAGTGAAAAACTGGGCTCCTGGATTGTGGTCCAGTGCATGTTTGACCTAAATCTGGTTTATACTGTGTAAAGGTCACTCTAATGGAGGTATACAGATTGCATTGATTGGATGGAAGCAAGACTGAATGAAGAGCCACGAATGGAAATAATTTATGTCTCCCCTTGATAATTTAGAGTAAGAATAACTTTTAAACTTTTCTTTTTAAACATGAAATTTTGTAAAAATTTAAAAAATGAGGGAAATTTCTTTTATCTGTATCAAACAAATAACACCTGAGTTCTAATGGTTAAAATAAGGATGAAGCCATCAGATCCCACACCTTAGACCTCCCCCTCACTCCCAATGCTGCAGCCCACGGGATAAGTCAACTATCTTGCTATAATTGGAGCCCAAAAACGGTTTATCCTGTGTAAAAAGCAAATGCAATGCGTGGGGTACCCTAAATCCTGACCCGAACACTTCATGGGAAGTATAAATATTATTCGTATTACTGTTTCCCCAACAGTCTCTGAAACCATTGGTTCCCTAAAACTGTTACTGTCTGATAGTTTTTTTTTTTAATGTTTTAATAGTTGACTTTGAGAAATTCTAGGATAAATTACTTAAAAGGCTTCTCTACTTCAGTATATCTAAGAACCAGTACTAACACAGAGAATGTCAAAAATATTTTTGAAATCATGATTGGTTAACAGATCTATGCAGATAATAAATTATTAGGTGAAAAAAGTAACATGCTTAAGAATTAGCTCTGTCCTATTTTAGAAGCTACCATAATGATTTTATGTTTCCTTCTTGTACTCATTACTAACTTTAATTGATTATAGTTTGGAAATATTATCTGGAGGGAAGTTATAAAACTCATGTCTGTGCATGAAGACCTGCATTTTAGGAACTTTATATTCTATGCCATAAAACACAATGTCACCCTAATCGAAATCATTTCTTTCA